GAAGCTTGGCTGCCGCAGAACCAAGCTTCTGCCTCCTGCCCCCGCAGTGGAGAGCGGTGGGCAGGGGGCTGAGGGCCGGGACCACTCAGAATCAGCTCCCGTGCCGTAGGTTGCCGACCCCTGGTCTACTGTAAGCTAGAGAAAACATATCTAAAGGGAAAATACAACACGCAATACCCATCCAAATCACTGGGGACAACACAGTCAGCCTTCCTCAGTCCTACCTGTCCCCACTGTGGCGCTGCTCATTCCAGGTACCATATTGACTGTCAGCCTCTTGCACAAGTGTGTCAGTGTCCTTGGCCTCTGGGGGTTGTCTGGCAAAGCACTGCCTCAGTTGATCCTGCAACACAATATAATAGAAGTTTAACATGAAACCTTTACCAGTTTGGTTAAACAGTTTACTGAGTTAATTTATGCCAGCAGCTTTCAAATCCATGAATCTAAAGCTGAATGAGAGTAAATTTATACACAGAAACACAGTTTAACTAGTAAAATGTCTATAAACACCCAAAGGTTAGTAGAGTCTTTATGAAAGATGTGCTTTATTTTCATGGGCAAATCATTGGGGCCTGAAGCAGGAAATGATTATTTTGTTTCATTAACTCAAAGATAGATGGCTACAGTTAATGCCTCTTCTATTTAACAATAGTTAGTAAGTACATGATGCCCTCCAAAAATTAAACACACATGATGCTACTGGGGGAATAACAGAAGTTGTGTACTTTGTCCTCACTTCTAGATTCTTCTATAGGAGTATTTTGGCAGCATGGAAGCTCCTTGAAATCAAATTATCTTGCCTGACAATTGCACTTGTTTGGCAAACATTGCTCTCTTGCTCATTCCTTCCTCACTTTTGTTTATAATGCTGCAGAATCATTTGATGGAGCTCCATTTGATCCACTTCCTTGTTTGTGCAGTATCACCATGATTGGGTCAGTAGGAATGTGCATAGCTTAGAAACTGATGTTTGTTAATTAACTGCTGCACAAAGTCAAAGGAGGAAGCAGAAAGCTTGCTGTGCAGGTCCACACAAGAACCTATCGTTTTTACAGACTACATTTTTTGGAGTATATTCTGAATCCATAGCCTTTCCTCCCTATGATCATAACTATTTTAATAGGTTATATTTGGAGTCTAATTTACTTGTCAGTGTTCCTTTTAAACATTGGATTGCTATTTTATTAGCTTTTAACTTTTTCGTTATAAATCCACAAGAACATTTAAAGCTAACAATCCTCTGAGGGAGAGAAAACGAACAGTACACAGTATCACACAGCAGTGAGTTTTCTTCAGCCTTTATACTCTAGTTCCATATGTCATTAAAAACAAACTGCTGTTTTCTTTTGAAGTGTCATTTGTAACTGTGTGAAACACAGCAATAGAGTCTGATGTGAAATGACATTTCCAAGTGATCCTCAACAAGTCATTTCAACCACTTTTTCTTCTTCTCATTTCTGCAGCAACTCACAGTGTCGGAAGTCATTACACACTGACATTTTACATCTGCATTGTGACATTATGTCTAATCTCCAAGTGCATTGGAAGAGAATGTCACATGTGGTTAATTTTCAATTTGAAGCCATAAACGTAGCGAGAATACTGTTTCTTAGTCATGTGTGTCATTTATTGTTCCTACAACATTTGATCACAGAAATTAGAAACGAGAGACTTAGAGACTCATCTTGTTCCTCTCTCCATCAGTGCAGAAAGTGCCCTAAAGCACAGATGAGTGTTTCGTCTTGTTAAAACGAGGGAGGGAAGCAGGTGCTTTAGGAGGAAAGTGATATGGATGCTCCTTAGGGTGAGAAATTATTCAGCAGCATCCACCAAGTCAGTGAAAGGTGTCAGAGTGACAGCTCTGGAGCCCCAACCTCTGTCTAGCCACAGAACTGCGAGCACAGCGAGCAGCAGGAACAGTTTCTTGCCATAGCTTCACTGAGATGACACCAGCTGATGTGGAGGGGCCATCCCTAGGAGTAGAAGGATAATTCAGTCTCCATGACCATTTAGTACTTGACCTCTCTCGAGGGACTGCCAAAGTTGCCAATCAGTACCTAACATTGAGTGTTGCGGAGGTGGCAGCTGTGTTGTGGACACTTAACCTGTATGCAGGGCCAACGAGAGGGGAGGGAAGCCGGTACAAATTACCGGGGCCCGGCGGTCCGGAAGGGGGCCTGGGGCCCGGCTCCCGCCCCGTCAGCCATTTAGCCGGTCTGCCCTTGCTGGGGGACCCGAAAAAATTCCGGAAAGGGGCTGGGGGCCCAGCTTCCCCCCCCTCTCCCCCGTCGGCCCTGTTTAGCCGGTCCGCCCTTGCTGGAGGGCCCGAAAATATTTTTTCACCGGGGCTCGAACCCGCTCTCGATGGCCCTGCCTGTATGAGTTGGATTAAGACCACCTAACTCATTTTACACGGGCCAACCAAAAGCCAGATGATGGTTATGATTGTCAGTTACCAAAAGTCCGTGTAGGATTTGAACCAGCAAGAAGAAGTGAAAGGCTCTCCCTGCCATTATCAATCTCCAGACAACTGAATTCTGTCAGTTGGACAATTAGCTGCTGAACAAAAACCATAAGGACACTCATTAGCTTTTGAGCATGCTCAGCAAATACCAATATAAAAATAGTACAGTACACTGACAAAGGCAGGAAAAATAGTTTTTATAGGACAACACTTTTATGAAGATGAATGGCACATTGGTTCACTTCTATAGGAGTTGTAGTGTAGTCACAACTGTCTCCACAGAAAATTTTAAGATGTACTACGTATAAGTAATTGCACAAGAGGGGATAGGAGTTTTATAACTGCTTGCAGAACAGTCAAGAACACAGTTGCCATGAAAAGAAAAGCAGCAGTAGAAATGCAAGCCCAACTGTGAGCCTTTGGATCTCTCACATTAAAAGAATACTGTCCACACGCCTCATGTTTGCACTACAGGAATCAATATAGAATTCGCCAATGCTTGTAATAAAAACTGTAAAAATCAACACATCCCAAGATGCACTTGTGTGTGAGCCGTACACTGAGAGCCGTGCACAGAAATTGGTTTGTGTCCTTGGTGTGGCAGAAGATTCTCATGGACATCTTTGGAAGCTGTGCTATATAATGAATGCAATATAACAACAGGCAGGGCTGGCGGCCCCACCCATTATTAAGGTTGCCTGAAAATTCCCTTTATATGGCTCTGTTTTCAATTGCTTATAACTTTGCCAAACTTTAACCCTTCAGGCTGCAGTTTTTCATGCTGTGTGTGTGTCTGTCTCAAGAATGTTGTGAAAATAAATTCATTAGCGTTAGGGAAGTATTCAGATACTCTAGAGCTGAGCCCCATAATAAAGCCCGTGAGGAAATAAATAATTCTGTGTTCTGAGCAGGGTTTGAATAGTGCGCAATAACTAAGACCTAGGGTCACACATAGAACAATAGAATATTGACTAGCTGCTCATTAAGCAAGCACCATCCATCCAGTGCCCCGAATAAGGCAGGAAAAATAGTATGTGATCATGCAATTAAAGACTGTATCATAGCGCACAATGCATGCACACAAGAGGGCTGAATGATGGTTGCATGGGCAACCTTAACTTTGGCATTTCCTAACTTCTGAGAACTTGACTTTGCATCCTTAATAATGTATTTTAGCAGTTTGTGCTTGTAATAAATAATAATAATAATCTCTTCTAAAACGTTCATCCATAGTTCTCAAAGCGCGTTATAAAAAAGTATAATTATCCCCATTTTTGGATGTGGAAAACTAAGGCACAGGGAGGTGAAGTAACTTGCTCAAGACTATATACGCTGTGCAATATAAACTGAATGTTATTCTGGATAGTAAATGTACTAAATGATAGCAAAGGGTTCTTTTAACATTTGATTGGCTTGCTATAGGTACCCATCTTCTAGTCAGTCTTGTGAGGCACTCTGAATGGTGTTTTATGGAAAGCAGAAGTGTAAAAAAAAGTCTTGCATTCATTTTCAGTAAGCACTTCTCTGAGTTCCTATAAACATAGGTATAAAATTACCATATATCCCGGTTATTTTTCAGCTGAAGTCACAACACTGATTTAGTACATTCAAATATTTGCTTTGTTTTTACATTTCCTCAATTTGCTACGACTATGTACTTGGTAATGCTGTAAAAAACCCCAAATGTAATAAAACAATATTTGGGATGGATAAAGCAGAGATATTCATAACTGAAACGTCCTACTTCACTGCCTCCCATCTCTTTTCCTTGGATGGTAAAAACAAGCAAACACAAACAAACATTTTCTCCAAGGTGGAGGCAGGAATCAGAATCTCAACCTCAACTGTGCCTGTCATTTGGTCAGTTATATGGCGGTCACAACTTCTCATTATTCAGCAAACTCTGCATTTAATAAATACACGGGGCTAGATTCTCAGCTCGTTTTGTCCCTTTGCACCATCCGAGCGACACAATGGGTATGTAATCCAGGCAGCTGAGAATTCCCCCAGCAGAATTAAGGGCAGAACACTTTCCCAGTAGGAGTAGTGTTGCATAATGACAGATATTAGAAGGTGTTTGATAAAAAGCAAACCAGATTAAAGTGTAGCTACAATGGAATGAATTAGAAGGGTAGTAATAGATATAACTGAATATCCTTGCCTTTCTGCACTGTATCTCTCACCTTTCATTTTCAAATAATATTTGATGTTGCTGAAACCCTGAATTTGCAGCCGACAGATGTAAAGTTACAGCTATAACATCCTACTCCAAAGTAAACCACTCTAGTGCCTTCTGTTTCCCAGTGGCACTGAGTCATCCATTGAAGTTAGAAATTATGTATCATGTACAGACATGCTGGCTCCTTCTTGCATTCATTATCCCAAACGGCCAACAAACATTCGTATTTTCTTTCTAGGGTAGTGTTCAGTTCCATGCCATTTCCTTCAGCATATAATCCTTGAGGAGGATACCTGCATGATTTTCTGCCTGTTAGGACTGGTTTTTACTGGAAAATTTTACCAGCAAAAGTTCTGCTGGTGTATTGTTGCCAATATAGCTACTTTGGCAGAGTGTGTTCACATTTGGCTGCCTTTGCCAGTGCTGTATGTCCTCACAGCATCAGGCTGTACCAACACAAAATGTGTTGCGCCATGGGTAGACATCCCAGTGTACACCAGCACCATCAGCTGACGCACAACCTTGTGGGAAATTTTTGCAGTGTACTGAGGGATACAACAACCACTCTTACAAGGGATTGTGGGAATTTTACCCCAAACTGTCACAATTCTCTCTGCTCCATCCCATAATCTACCCTTTTGCACTATGACAGGTTTCAGAGTAGCAGCCGTGTTAAGCTTATGCTCTAATAAATTTGTTA